TATAGGTTAAATGTCAATTTTGGTCCCTTAACTTTAAGGTTTTGCATAATTTTCAACCTTAAACTTTTTATGCACTTTTTGGTCCTTTAATTATGAAAAATGTACATTTTTAGTCATTTTATCAGTTAATTCATTAAGTTTATCTAAATATGTAGTTTTTTAATCCCTCAACTTTTAATACGTGCATATTTTTCATTTTTAACTTTAAGTTAAGAGACTAAAAATATGCAGTTAAGGAATGAAAAATGTGCATATTTAGATAAACTTAACAGATTAATTGATTGAAAGACTAAAAAAAAATTTTTTTCATAGTTGAGGGACTAAAAAAGTGTAAAAAAATTGAAGGATGAAAATTATGTAAAATCTTAAAGTTAAGGGACCAAAATTGATATTTAATCATTCTTATATTATCTATGAATGAAATAAATAAAAATATAAAAATTAAAGAAAAATGAAAAAAATGAAAAAATATATAAAAAAAAAGAGTTGCATCAATTTTGGTCAACTAAGTTGATTGGATTTGGATGAATTTGACCGGGTCTGAATGGGTGTCGATAAAATTTTACTTCAAATAAGTTATTATCATAATTATATTCATTTTTTAAACCAAATCTGATTCAATCAATTAAACCAACTAAGTTGGGCCAAGTTCCAAAAGAATGCTTCTTAATAAGGTAATCACTGTTAGTCTAACATATAAATTTTTTTTGGTTAAATACCCTTTTTGGTCCCTCTACTATAGGAAAAAGCCCATTTTGAGTCCCTATACCGAAAAAATCCCCTTTTTGATCCTTACTGTTCACAAAACCGGCCCCTTTTTAGTCCCTCTGTTAAATTTTGGCTTACGTGGCATGTTAATTAACGGAAAACAGCTGACGTGATATACCAACGCGTAAAATATGTTTATGTGGATTCCATGTCACCCTCCACGTCACCCCACTTCCTTCAGTTTTTTTTTTTTTTGGTCCTTTTTTCCTTTTACCTTCAGCCGAACCCAGCTCACGGGTTTGTGATGAACCCAGGCACCTGGGTTCATCGCGAACCCAGGATGAACCTAGCTTGCGCGACTGGGTTCGCGACTGGGTTCGCAATGAACCCAGTTCGTGTGATTGGGTTGGCAATGAACCCAGCTCGCGCCTGGGTTCGCGACATACCCAGACGCAAGCTGGG